AATACGAACACAATGAATTTTGCTTGACCATACTAGTGGTGCTGTCGATATGGAGTATTACTGTACAGGGTGGATCGCTTTGCACTTCAACATACGTTTCTAGTAATGAATACCAAGTGACGCCAACGCGAAATGGGAGTGGAGCAGACCCGTCCCCCACGGTAGGAGCCAAAATGTTGTCGTCGTGCCGGGAGTCAAAGCGTATTATCATTCTCTTGGGGTCGTCAGGTATATTTTCCAAATTGTCAAGCATATACTGGTCACAAAGGTAAATCACTGGCTGAACTGCATCTCTCTTGTGAGCCTTGCATTATTTCTTGGTGTGGCTCTCTCCTTGACTAAAGAGCGGCGGAGGACCTCCGAGCGTAAGACGAGATATTTTCTTGCAAATAATACCAAACAGAGCCACAGGGGTGATCGATGCGTCTTCGGCGAGTCGCTCGTCTATGCACTTCTTCATGTTAGTCGTCAACACTGGCAGTGTAGTCTGAGGAGATAGTGCAGTTGTATCCAGCTTTGTATGCTCGCCATCGACCGATACAATTACCAAAATGCTCATTTCGCATGTTAATATACGGTATCAACTCAGATTACATCGCGCTGACGTGCACTTCGTGATGATTCTACGCATAGTATGTCGTGTCATCAGTGCTTCGTCATCATCAAACCGGGCGTGGTTCAATGTGCATCTTTCTGGTGTAATTCATTGACGAGTACGCCTTGGCAGCGAATCCACAGATTCAATTAGTGTCACCTCGAAATTCGTGACTGAATTCCATATATCTATCCACGGTATTCCCCTTCCACCATAGCTAGCTCGATTCGAGTCCATTGAACTCTGTAATATATGTATTTAGCCTTAGTATAATGTTGCACGTGAATTAAAAAGCATATAGGTGATCACGTGAAGTGTATCATCGTTACCAGGTAGTTTATTCTGCATGAAGGCACTTGATTGTGATGAAGCAAATCAAAGAACGCCTCCCGTCGCGTTATAATTAGTTATATTAAAGCCTGAAATTACCAGAGCCCAACTCTATAATTGCTGCGTATTCGCTATCCTGATGGTGAAAAACTCCAAATCTATTGTGATTTAGTCTAATTAGGTAATGCGTGACTCCATCCGATACTATGGTGATGGATTCCAATTCTTTGGTGATCGTGTCACCATGTGTGGTGTTAGGTTACCTCACTCCGATCACGCGAGCTTTTTGCATCGTTCCGTCCCAGTTTAAATGACACCTATATAACACGAGTACTGCTGGTACTTCTCTGCCTTCGTCATCCTCGACCGACCTCAAGAGATTCACTGGCAGTTGTGCACTCACGTCTTGACCGAACAGTAATAGGAGCGTTTGTTGCCGCAGCAGCACGTTGCGATACAGCTCTTCCCAGTCTTGTCGACGCAAGTTCTGACCGTGACTATTGTCGACGTACATGACAAAACTGTAAAGGTTGGGTGGGCAGTCAATAACTTATCTCTATCTCCACGTAAGACGACATTTCCACCGTTCCTGTAGCGTTTCACTTTCGGAACTATTGCTTCGTGTTTCAGACAGAATCTGCTTGATATCGTTGGTGGAGAGTGAATTCAGTGGCAGACGAGCGAGTGCAAAGTTCGCATCTCTATGGTACCGCTGGATCGATTGCATACGTTTTGAGTGGCCCACCACCACAAAGTAGACCATAGGAGAATTCATCCAGGCTACCAAAACGTGTTTGGCGAACTCGATGAACAGATTTAGAGAAGCCTTTTCTCCAAGCGGATCTTCAAAGCCTCGGCCTGCTTCGTCAAGTATTATAAATAAAGGACCAATGGCTTTTGCCAAACGCTTCACAAAGTCGTATGACGTACGTTTCGCTTTCAGGGCCAGCACAGCAGTTTGGATGCTCATAGGATCGAGTTGCTCGATAATTACCTTCAGGATTAGAGTGTTTACTACGTCGAAGCGCGGCTCCTGTCCGGCAAAAGCACCTTGTGCAATGTCGACTCTGATGGTCCGGCAACCA